TTCTCAGAGGGCGGGGGGACTTCCGAGCCTTCTGAGAAGGCCCGCCCCTTCTCACTTCCCCCTGAGGTTCGCCGCCGAGAGCAGAACGTGGACCCAGACCTTTGGTGTTTGATACAGAGATCCCCTGCCCTGCCAAGTCGATTGGGGGATCTGCCCGTGGGGGGGGGGGGGGGCGCCTCTTTGGCTTCTCGAGAGGGTGGTGCAGCTGTTCTGTGTGCGGGCCTGCACCCGCGGGGTTTGGTGCCCAGGCCGTCTTCGCTGCAGGATACTTGGCTACCAGGCGCTGACAGCCCCAGCCCTGCTCAGGCATTCTGCCTTCCGCCCAGTGGATGACGGCGCGCCTCTCCGTTGAGACCGCGCTGCCCCTGCCTTCGGCAGCCAGCACTACCTGCCGAGGGCAGGACTCGGATCTCGCCGCCGAACTGCTCGACGGATGCCTGCCCTCGTGTTCTCCCAGGGAGGTGTCTCTCCAATTAGTGCTGTGCGCGCCCCGCCTAGCTCTTAACCGGAAGAGGCCCGCCCTCGACCCGCAGACCAAAAAAGGGTTGTCCAAGGAGAGGAGGACTGGCCTCGGCCTCGGCTGCCGCCACGGCACCCGCTGCCTGCTCGACGCGGAGAACTCTTCCACGTCTGGGCGCTGTCCCCTCCCCTTCCAGCACACCGCTTTTCGATGTCTGAGGCTGCCCGCGCACTCCGCCCCGTCCGGCGTGCCCAAGCCTGGCGCGGCCGGCCAGCTTTCGACCGCGTTGGCGCTCGCCCTCTCGGCTGCGTGTAAGAGTGGCCCTTCGCCAGGAGGACCTCTGGGTGCGGGCCCATTGGGGTCCCCCCGATCGTTGAGCGCGATGCGATAGTGGCTGCTTGCGCGCTTGGACTTGGCCAGCTTGCGTCCCCTCAGCCCGCACACCAAAGGTTACTCTTGCCTAGGGTCACTCTTGCGTGTAGCCGACATTCGCCGTTGGACGACAGTCTTTAGCCAAAGGGGGTCGGTCCACCCTTGGGACCTGCGGGCGTCGCGGACGAAAAGAGTTTGGCGGCGTGAGAGAAGTCGCGGCGCCGGCGTTCCAGTGGAGGGAGGCCGCGGGAGAGGTGTCTGGGCAGTGTCGTGGAGGATTCTGGGGGGTCTCTCGGAAGCTCTACGGGGTATGGTCGGAGGAGGAGGAGGAGGAAGACAAGGAGGAGGAAGGGAGAAGGAAAAAGAGGAGGGGAGGAGATGAGGATGACTAGGACAAGGAATCGAGAAGGAGGAGGAGGAGGAGGAGGAGGAGAGGGATAAGAAGGAGAGGAGGAGGAGGATGGGAGGAGGAGGAGGAGGAGGAGGAGGAGGAGGAGAGCAGGAAGAAGAGGAAGAGGAGAAGGAGGAAAGGAAGTGCACCATTGGACGAGCAGCAGCAGCAGCAGCAGCAGTGACAGCGGCAATGCAGCAGCCCCAGCAGAGTCGGCAGATGCAGTGGCGGCAGGTCGACGAGAAGGAGGCAGCTGGAGGAGGCGCAGGAAAACGAAGTCGAAGGCGATGCGGGAGGCGGCGGAGGAGGAGAAGGAGGGCTCGGCCTCCACATAGTTTCTGAGGTCGCCTTGTCCGCCGAATCGACTTAGTACAGGTTGCCCTGGGCTCCCCCACGAGGAGGAGTGAGGGGAGGGCGGGAGGAGGAAGAGGAGGAGAGGGAATACGAGGAGGAGAGGGTGAGAAGGAGAAACAGACCATACAGGCGTTTCTCTTGCATCTAGGTGGGACTTGGGACCCCTCTTCACGGCCGATCGCAGCTCGCAGAGGGGAGCCCCCCCGCATTCTTAGAATGCTGGCCCCCCCGCGCCGCCCCCTCGTGCGCGCCGCCAGAAGACCCTGACGGGCAGAGAAAGCGGCACAGACTAGTCCAGGCTCAGCCTCCTCCTCCTCCTCCTCCTCCTCCTCCTCCTCCTCCGCAGCCCGCTCCTCCTCAGCCTGCTCCTCCTCCTCCTCCTCCTCCTCCTCCTCCTCCTCCTCCTTCTCCTCCTCCTCCTCCTCCGCAGCAGCAGCAGCCTGGCCTCCTCCTCCCCCTCCTCCTCCTCCTCCTCCTCCTCCTCCTCCTCCTCCCTCCCCCTCCTCCTCCTCCTCCTCCTCCTCCTCCTCCCCCTCCTCCTCCTCCTTCTCCTCCTCCTCCTCGGCCAGCTCCTCCTCCTCCTCCTCCTCCTCCTGCTCCTCCTCCTTCTCCGCCTCAGCCTGCTCCCCCTCCCCCCCAGGGGCATGGCGCTGTTCTTCTGGAGCCATCGGTGCAACGACGCGTGCCGGCTGCTGCACCTGTCACCCTTCCCGACCTTCGCCGACCAGGTCGTTCGGGCCAAGGCGGCCGCGGGCGCCGAGCTCCGCGTGAGCGCGATGGCGCACGGCGCGCTGTCGAAGACAGACTCCGAGCTGAGCTCGGCCCGGCGGCAGGCTGGCGTACGCACGAGCAGGCTGCAGGTGGAGCAGATGCTGCTCTTCAACGACGGGGACTGGTTCTCCGTGCCCAGGGTGCGGCACCCGCGCGGCAGAGGCCCCATGCCCGAGGATCGACGGCACGTCGCGCGTGACCCCTCCGGGTCCATTTCGACGCCATGCCGATGCAGCCCGATCCACTGCGCAGTTCCAATCGTATCCAATTTCCCGATTCGATGCTGACGGATCATGCCCTTCGCCGGAGCGGCCTTTGGTGCGAGCCCGCTGAGGTTCCCCGATCGCTGAATGCGGTGCGACAGCAGCAGGCTGCGCCCTTGGATTAGGCCCCCCCCCCCCGCGCCCTCCGAAAGCTGCGCACCCAAGGTCACCCTTGCCTGCCAGGAGGCTGGCTGCACATGGCGCGGCCAGCGCAGGCGAGGGTTGAACAACTGCGTGGGGGCATGCCTTTCCAGCGCTCGCCACCCGGGGACGCCGGCCCTCCGCATGGGTATTCCGCGCGCGGCCTCCAGAATTCTCCACGTGCGGATCCAGCCATGTGTTTCTCTAGCTTCCTGGCGGGGAAGGGTCGCGACTGCTTGCAGCCGAGAGGAGCTGGTGGAGCCGTGCATCCACATGGAGCTCGCGTGGTACTACTCGACCGGGCGCCTGAGCGCGGGACAGACCGCGCAGATCTCCCCCGAGGGGGCCCTCTTCCACCTCCAGCAGGCGGCCAAGGGCGGCCTCGTGTGCGCACTGCTGGCACTGGCCCGGCTGTGCTCGGACCTCCCGCACGAGGATCGGGCGACGTCAATCGACCACCTCACCAGTCCTGACCGGGCCCGTACCCAGGGTCGGACGAGCCAGGATTGGTAAGGCCTTGGGTTGCGCACAGAGAGCCACCCAGGTAGTTTTGGCTGACCTTGATGAGATCGCCCTGGACTACTCTTGGAGCCTGTCGAGGCCAGCTAGGATTAATCCAGGGGGCTGTATTTGCGCATCCCGAGGCCTTACCAGCCAGGAACGGTGAGGTGGTCGGCTGACGTTCCCCGGGAGGATTTCCTGCCTTCTGTCCTCGGTTGCTCCGCTGAGCTGTGCCTGCACCTGTTGGAGCTGGCGGCGGACCGGGGTAGCGCCGCTGCCGCTGGCAGTTTGGCGCAGCTCACCGAGCAGGGCATCTACGAGCCCGCCGACCTTCTGAAGGCCGCGCACATGTACGAGCACTTCGCCAGGCTGCACCTCGAGGATCAGGGGCAACGTCAGAGAGGGATAGGCTCAGGGGGGATGCATCGACCCCCAATTGCCCACTGATCGCCGATAGGGACCAGATAGCCCGCCCCACCCTGGAGCGTGCGGATTTGCTGTCGAGCTCGATCTTCGATACATATACATCTGTATATGTATATTGTAGTGGCCTCCGGCCAGTGCAGCCGATCCGGGGCGCTCCGGGTGCCCGTGGAAATGAACGACGACGAGGAAGACGAAAACGACGACGAAAACGAATACGTCGACGACGACGACGACGACGACGACGACGACGAGAGCGACGACGACAACGACCACGACGACGACGACGACGACGACGACGACGGCGATGACGACGACGACGCGAGCGACGACGACGACGACGACGACGACGACGACGACGACGACGACGACGACGATGACGCGAGCGACGACGACGACGACGACGCGACGACAACGACGACGACGACGACGACGACGACGACGACGACGACGACGACGACGACGACGACGACGACGACGACGACGACGACGGGGGGGGAGCTGGGTTGCAGGGGGAGGGTCTGTTCTGCAGGGGGGGTCCGCTCGGCAGAGGGAGGGGCTGCAGGGGAGAGGGGGGGTCCGCTCTGCAGGGGGGTGGGGCTGCAGGAGGGGGGTCTGCTCTGCAGAGGGGGGGAGGGGAGGGGGGGGGGGGTCCGCTCTGCAGGGGGGCGGGCTGCACGGGTGGGGGGGGTCTGCTCTGCAGGGGGAGAGGGTGGGCTGGCTGCAGGGGGGGGGGGTCCGCTCTGCAGGGGGAGGAGGGGGGGAGGGGGGGTCGCCCCCCGCAGGGGGGGGGGCAGGAGGGGGTGTCTGCTCGCAGGGGGGGGGTGCAGGGGAGGGGGGGGGGGTCCCGCTCTGCAGGGGGGGGGGGGGGCTGCAGGGGGGAGGTTCGCTCGGGCAGGGGGGGGAGCTCTCTGCAGGGGGGGGGGCAGGGGGGGTCATATATATATATATATACACACACATACATATATATATATATATATATATATATATATACACATATACATATGTACATCTATCGGCGATGTGTTCCCGCCCCCCTGAACCAGTTCCCCGCCCCCCTGAACCAGTTACCCCTCAGAGGAGGACGTGGAGGGGTGCGAGCCCTGCGAGGGCCCTGGCGAGGAGACTTGAGAATAAGAGTCTGCATGATTAAGCATAGGTTTTCTAAGGTCAGCTCTGATTTCTTGAATCGGCGCCGGACTCTCCTCCCAGGCGCGCGGAGCGCGCGCCAGGGGCGGCGCCTGAGTTGCTGCCAGGTGTGTCCAGCGCCAGCCCAAGCAGAAATCCGTGCGGGCCTCCGAAAGTAAGTGTCTATCTATGCTCAGTCTTGCGTGTCTCAGGATGGGGCGGAGGACGAGAGGCTATGGTGCGACGGCATCACCCGGCCGACGTTCTGGAGCTCCAGCTTCGGCTGGGAGAGCCACGGGCTGACGCCCCAGATGTCGCTGGCCGACGCGGCGCGACTGCACGGCGACCTGGGCGGCCACGCGCGGGCCGCGGAGCTCTACCGCTGGGCTTCGGAGGTCGCGATGGAGGCGGGGGAGGCCAAGCAGGCCGACAGGTACGAGCGCCTGGCCCAGGCCGCGGAAAGCGCGGCGGACGCCGACACCGGCGCCGACGGCCTAGTGGATACCTCCCCCGTGCGGAGCAGGACTTCCTCTGTGCACTTGCCGGCCGCCGTGCACTTGCCGGCGACGCTGCTGGCGAGGTTGGGCGAGCTGGCCAAGGAGTTGGGCGTGCCAGAGGGCGAGGAGGGCGTGGGCAAGGCCGTAGAGAAGCTGCTGCAGGCGTACCGAGGCGGCGGCGGCGGTGGAAGCCGCACCTTCCCTGCCTCCTCCCCAGGTGGGCCCCGTTCAATCCTCAAGAAAAGCGTGACGTTCTCGCAGCAGCCGCCCGAGGAGTTCCAGCCCCCGTGCGAGGACGGCGTGGAGGAGCAGACGCACGCGTTCGACAGAGCGGTCGTCGACAAGGCTCTTTGCTCCCCGAAGCAGGGGCCTGCGCCTGCGCCGCCCGCGCCGCCGCCCTGCAGTGCCACGAGCTCCACCGCAGCGGCGACCTGCTCGCGCGCCGCAGCGCCAGCGCCGGCGGCGCAGGTCGAGGTGGCCGACAGCACGGGGCGGCCTCTTGGCGGCGCCACGGTGGTGCTCGTCGACAGCGCCACAGGGACGCAGCTGTCGGAGGCAGCCGTCACCGACGCCGCGGGGAAGGCTCGCGTCTGCGCGCGGCGCCGGAGGCTGCTGCTGCGCGTGACCCGGCCTGGGTATGCCAGTGGCCGACGCTGCGGCCGACGGGCCCCTTCCGCGGCAGCTCCCTATTTGGCGCCGCGAGAAGATCGGAGCGGCCGGTTCGTCGCAGTGTTTGGTCTCGTGGAGCCAGCTTCGGGCCTCGGGCCCGTCGAGCCACGACTCGGAACGAGAGATGAGTCTTGGGGGTTGGTCGAGAGGCCCAGGGCTCCACGCATCGAGTAGATCGGAGCGCCCCATGGTCTGGATGGCTGTCCAGCGCGCCCCGTCGGCCCGCGCCGACTTGGGAGAATCAGCGGCGCACACCTCGGGCAGGGCGCCGCTCGCAGCCCCCTGCGCAAGGCACAGGGCGGCGCTGGCACCGGTGGGGCGGGGAGAGGGGAAGGCAGGGCCGCCTGCGAGCCGATTCGATGCGGTTCGATCTACTGGCTGGGGCCATGGTTCCGCCTCGATGCGATTCTGTTCGATCCACCGGCGTCGGCCGACGCCAGCCAGAGCCGTGCGCGGCGGTCCAATTTTGATTCGCTTCGGGGCGACTCGCTGGCGACCCTACAGTGGAAGCCCATACCAAGAAGCACCCTGCTTGCCTCCAGGGTGCCCTCGGTTTCTTGGGTTTCCATTGCTTCGCTATGAAAAGCGTGGCGTTCCCACACCCAAAAATCAATGGACGTCCTGGGGTCTCAGGGTTGGGTTGCTTGTGGAAGGTTTCTCGTGGTCGAGCTCCTACTGCATCTGCTTCCGACCCGATCCGCCCTCACCGATGCAATCCGGCTCAGGCCTGAAGAGGCAGGAAGGGAGGAGGAGGAGGAGGAGGAGGAGGAGGAGGAGGAGGAGAGCGGGGGCGCGAGGAGAGGGGGCACCCCCAGCAGGGGAGAGGCGGGGAGGGAGGGGCGCGGGGCGAGCGGAGCGGGGGATCCCAGCAGGGGGGACCCCCCGCCGGGATCCGCAGGTCGCGCTGCTCGGGCGACCGGCAGGCGCGGGCCAGCCAGAGCAGCGGGCCACGCCTTCCACGAGTCGCCGAGGGATCGGAGAAGAGAGCACGCGGCATATAAACATACAGAACTTGTTGGCGCTGCGCGCGGGACCGTCGAGTGCGCATGCGTGTGCCGCTCATTACCGTGATGACAGTCGGGGCCCTGAAGAAGGAACCCTTTTGGTTGGGGAGGGGCTCCACGTTCCTGGAGTGTTTCGCAGCCTGCCCCAGGTTTTCATGTTGAACTTCTAGAAAACAGGGGCCTCGTTCCTTATTTGGGGTTCCTTAGGTCAACGCCCCGACTGTATGGTTCGTCGTCTCCTTAGTATCAGTATGATTCTTCTCGTTCTTCTAGAGAGGGTGGGCAGCGCCCCGACGTGCCGGGCACCGCACGGGCAGACGCGATGGTCTCGCCCCACAGGGGGGGGCGCGGCGGGCCGGCCGAGCGAGGTTCGCCTAAGCGGTGGCTGCCCGGGGGAGGGCGGCGACCTCCGGGAGATCGCCGCGGACTGAGCCAGGGCGCACCCCCGGCCGGCTGGTCGCCCCGCCCAACGCGGGCCGCGAGGGTGCGCCCAAGACCCCGCGGGGGGAAAAAAAATTGAGAGCAAGGGCAGTGGCGGTGTCGCGAGCAATGAGGGGGCAGGAGGAGGAGAGAGAGAGAGAGACAGGGACAGAGAGAGAGGGGGGGGCGGGAGAGAAATGGAGAGAGGGCAAGGAAGGAGAGAAAGTGAGAGGGGGAGTGAGCAAGTGAGCGAGCAAGCGACCAGAAGGGAACAAAGACGAGCAGAGGCAGCGGAATGAGAAAACATGTTTGCGGTGTGGGCACGTTGGCGGATTTCGCTATGTTGTTTGGAGCGTCACATGTACACGAGCAAGACGTTGAACATATTCGCGGACATCAGTACATGATCAGTTGGTGACTTGCACTGTGTTGTGCCACGGTGCATCGGGGGCCCTATATACACCAATACAACTTTGTCAGCAGGCCGTCGAGTAGAGAGGAGCTCTAATATGCTGTTTAAGCAGACACACACACACGTCCAGGACTCTGCGAAACGTAAATGTTGCAGACAATGTAGACCGCAAGCGCGTCTTTTATAAGTTGGAGAGCACACGTGAGACTCTATGAGGGAAACCCATCTACTGTCGAATGAGCCAATGTGTTGATGCAAACTGTTGAGGCAACAGCACTGTAGTTTCAATTCGTGGTGGACACTATAGACGTGTTTTGTTTTATTCCCCACATGCTTCGTGGGGTTCTGGTTCTCTTCCCTGCCGCGCCGCGCCCGCGTCTCCCCCACACCCGCCCTCCTCCTCCTCCTCCTCCTCCTCCTCCTCCTCCTCCTCCTCCTCCTCCTCCTCCTCCTCCTCCTCCTCAGCACAGCGCAGCACAGCACAGCAGACCGCAGCACAGCATAGGACAGCACAGCACAGCTCAGCAGAGCACAGCACAGCACGTCTCGGCGACACGCGTCTACATACAGCCGCACGCATGCACACACTCGCACACACAAGACGACACCAGTCCTGGCATAGCAGGCGTGGCACTTTCTCGACACCATAGGGGGTGCGCAGGGGGTGGTCTCTCGCTGCGGTCTCTATACGCCCCAGTCGTCCTGCTATAGCAGGCGTGGCCCCAGTCGTCCTGGCATAGCAGGCGTGGCACTTTCTCGACACCATAGGGGGTGCGCAGGGGGTGGTCTCTCGCTGCGGTCTCTATACGCGCCGGTCGTCCAGGCATAGCAGGCGTGGCACTTTCTCGACACCATAGGGGGTGCGCAGGGGGTGGTCTCTCGCTGCGGTCTCTATACGCGCCGGTCGTCCAGGCATAGCAGGCGTGGCACTTTCTCGACACCATAAGGGGGTGCGCAGGGGGTGGTCTCTCGCTGCGGTCTCTATACGCGCCGGTCGTCCAGGCATAGCAGGCGTGGCACTTTCTCGACACCATAGGGGGTGCGCAGGGGGTGGTCTCTCGCTGCGGTCTCTATACGCGCCGGTCGTCCAGGCATAGCAGGCGTGGCACTTTCTCGACACCGTAGGGGTGCGCAGGGGGTGGTCTCTCGCTGCGGTCTCTATACGCGCCGGTCGTCCAGGCATAGCAGGCGTGGCACTTCTCGACACCATAAGGGGGTGCGCAGGGGGTGGTCTCTCGCTGCGGTCTCTATACGCGCCGGTCGTCCAGGCATAGCAGGCGTGGCACTTTCTCGACACCATAGGGGGTGCGCAGGGGGTGGTCTCTCGCTGCGGTCTCTATACGCGCCGGTCGTCCAGGCATAGCAGGCGTGGCACTTTCTCGACACCATAGGGGGTGCGCAGGGGGTGGTCTCTCGCTGCGGTCTCTATACGCGCCGGTCGTCCAGGCATAGCAGGCGTGGCACTTTCTCGACACCGTGCGCAGGGGGTGCGCGCGGCTCTATACGCGCCGGTCGTCCAGGCATAGCAGGCGTGGCACTTTCTCGACATCAGGGGGTGCGCAGGGGGTGGTCTCTCGCGCGCGGTCTCTATACGCGCCGGTCGTCCAGGCATAGCAGGCGTGGCACTTTCTCGACACCATAGGGGGTGCGCAGGGGGTGGTCTCTCGCTGCGGTCTCTTTCGGTCGTCCTGGCATAGCAGGCGTGGCACTTTCTCGACACCATAGGGGGTGCGCAGGGGGTGGTCCCTCGCTGCGGTCTCTATACGTCGTGCGCAGCTGCGGTCTATACGCGCACCGGTCGTAGCAGGCGTGGCACTTTCTCGACACCATAGGGGGTGCGCAGGGGGTGGTCTCTCGCTGCGGTCTCTATACGCGCCGGTCGTCCAGGCATAGCAGGCGTGGCACTTTCTCGACACCATAGGGGGGTGCGCAGGGGGTGGTCCCTGAGCGCGGCTGCTATACGCGCCGGTCGTCCAGGCATAGCAGGCGTGGCACTTTCTCGACACCAGAGGGGTGCGCAGGGGGTGGTCCCCGAGCGCGGCTGCTATACGCGCCGGTCGTCCAGGCATAGCAGGCGTGGCACTTTCTCGACACCAGAGGGGGTGCGCAGGGGGTGGTCCCTGAGCGCGCCTGCTATACGCGCCGGTCGTCCAGGCATAGCAGGCGTGGCACTTTCTCGACACCAGAGGGGGTGCGCAGGGGGTGGTCCCTGAGCGCGGCCGCTATGCACGACGGTCGTCCAGGCACAGCAGGCGTGGCACTTTCTCGACACCAGAGGGGGGCGCAGGAGGTGGTGCCTGAGCTCGGCCGCTATGCGCGACGGTCGTCCAGGCACAGCAGGCGTGGCACTTTCTCGACACCAGAGGGGGGCGCAGGGGGTGGTCCCTGAGCGCGGCGCTATACGCGCCGGTCGTCCAGGCATAGCAGGCGTGGCACTTTCTCGACACCAGAGGGGGTGCGCAGGGGGTGGTCCCTGAGCGCGGCCGCTATGCACGACGGTCGTCCAGGCACAGCAGGCGTGGCACTTTCTCGACACCAGAGGGGGGCGCAGGAGGTGGTCCCTGAGCTCGGCCGCTATGCACGATGGTCCTCCTCCCTTCTCTCCTCTTCTTCCTCCTCCTCCTTGCCCTCTACCTCCTCTCCAGGAGGCCGACCTGGCTTGTCCGTGCTCGGCCGCCTTAGGTGTCTCGTGCTCGACCGACCTGACTTGTTCGACCGCCTTAGGTGTGGCGTGCTGGATCGATCTGACTTGTTCGACCGCCGTAGGTGTCTCGTGCTGGACCGACTTGACTTGTCCGACCGTTGGACAGCTCCGCTCTCGTGCTCGACCGCTTTGGGTGTCCCGTGCTCGCCCGCCATAGGTGTCTCGTGCTCGGCCGCCTTACGTGTCTCGTGCTCAACCGCCCTAGGTGTTCCGTTCTGGACCGACCTGACTTGTCTTTGCTCGGTCGCCTTACGAGTCCGGTGCTCGACCGACCTGGCTTGTTCGACCGCCCTAGGTGTTGCGTGTTCGGCCGACCTGACTTGTCCGCGCTCGGCCGCCCTAGGTGTCTCGTGCCTGCGAGAGGAGCATGATGAGGATGAGGGGTGGATGAGCAGGAGCAGGAGGACCAAGGGGACGAGGAGGGAAGGAGTTTAGGAGGAGAAGCGGGAAGAGGATGGGGACGGATGCGCAGGAGCAGAAGGAGCACGAGGAGGAGGAGGAAAAGGAGGAGGGCGAGGAGGACGAGGAGGAGAGGGGCGATGATGAGGAGGACGGCGATGAGGAGGAGGAGGAGAGGAGGAGGCGGCGGCGACGACGACGACGACGACGCCATCCCAGATCCTGCACGGGGCGCTCCAAGAAGGCTCTAGCCCTCGGGGGACCGAGAGGTTGACATCTCGCGCTCGGCGGACCCAGGTGAAGGTAGAGCGGCTTCGGCCGCTCGAGCGCGTTCTCTCGACAGGGGAGCGCGGGTTCGCCATCGGCGCTCAAGTGGGCGACGACGACGACGACGCTGTAGCATCATCATCATCAAGAATTGTAGCCACCCTGGCTCATGCGGGCTAATAGTGAACGCGGACGGCCGCCGGTGACTCTCCGTCAAAGGTACGGTCCCCGTCATGGCGCCCAAATGCGCAATGTCCGCTGCGCCACCGCCATGCGAGCAGCTCGAGCAATCAATGCAAGAAATGGGCGTTGATGTGAGCCTGGATGGTTTGCGAATATATGTTGTCCGGCTTGGGAACGCATTGGTACACCGTGCATTTGATGCTTACCACCGACAGCTGGCAAACTGGTGGCCTGACACGTTCCTCACCAGGTACAATGAGTTGCCGCGAACAACAGGCGCCGACGATGCCAGGAGGCAGTGCTTGACTGCGTACTTGCTGAACCCTTCGTCCGGCGGGTTCCCAGCTGATCAGCCAGGGGGTGGTGCGGAGGATGGCGATGGCTCGCCGTTGGCGAAAGTTCGGCGGGTCGGCGACGCCGGCAACGGGGGCGCTGCCACGCCCGCGCAGGACACGCCTATCAAGTGCACGCCAATGCAGGCATTCACTCCTCGGCGGTCCCCAGCAGTTCTGCTTGCCACCTCTGTTCGCTCCACAGGCACACCTCGCATTCAGCTGTCCCCTTGAGCCGGCCCAGACGGACCGCCGTTGGGCAGAAGTACCCTGGTCGCAAGGCTTGCGAGAATCAGTTCAGCTCGAGAATCTGTCGACGAAAGCGGGGAAGAAAGCAATGAAATGGCACAAGGCTTTCGCGGCCAAGCGAGCTTCTGATCCGGAGTACTTGCCGTCGAGGAGGGGCGGCGATGCCGATTTGTGGCAGGCGCTTTACAGGTACTCCACGAACGCTGGCTCCTACAGAGTGGATGTACCTACCCTTCGTCTTTTCGCATTGCAGCCTGACATGCTCGGCGTAGCTAGCGCCAAGTTCTACGGGGAGGTGAGCGACGTCGCCCCCTGGCATTGGACGTTTCGAGCTGCTGCTGATCATCATTGCATCGACTCTCTGCGAGACGTGGAAGGCCCAGCGCGCCCCTCGCGGCAGGCTGCCCTGGCAGAGCGGCTGGATGCGGTGAAGTTCCTCTACCCAGCAGACCAGGAGGACCCGCGCCCGGACCCTGTCAGGATCAAGCGCATCACACAGGTCCTCTCTGCCTGGACGAAGTTCAGACAACGAGTACGACGACGAGTACGACGACGAG